TTAGTTCAGAGAATCACGAATACAGGACTAGGCATGCGACTGAAGGAAACTTTAGTTTGCCTAAAGTAAAGTCAAATGCCTTAAAAAGAACTGTTATGTATAGAGGTATGAAAGCATAGAATTTACTGCCGAATTACATTAAACTGATAACTGATTTAAGGAAATTTAAAAAATCATTGAAAGAACATTTATTAAATATAGAGGTAAAACACGATTAGGACTGTCTTCTTCAATTGCTGTGCTTTGTAGTTTGTTTTGATTAGTTTGGATTGTTTCTGTTTATGTATATGGGTATGTATATGTATGTGTATATGTGTGTAAGTCTATATGTATATGTATAGATTATGGGAGATGTTGTTTTAATGTCCACATAATTTTATTTAATTTGTAATTTTTTTTTATTTCATGTTTTGTTGTTGGACCCCAGGAAGAATAGCTGTAGCTTGCTACAGCTAATGGGGATCCTAAATAAACTAAACTAAACTAAACTGGTCGTGAGTTATGGTAGGATGGAGCAAAAAAAATATAATCAACAATGGATATATAGGTTGAGCATCTCTTTGGTCTAACGTCGGGAAGAAAGAGCTGAGCCAAAAAGCAAAGCTGTTTATATTCTGGTCACCCTATATACCACATCTCTGCTAAGATCTAAACCATGTGTGAAGAAACAAGATACCAGCTGCAAGCTGCTGAAGTTAGCTCCACATATGTATCTCTTCTGGGAATACCTTGGATTTTCCCTGGAAGGGTTGATATGTTACCCTGAAAACAATGGAAATAAAGAGGAGGGATGGACAAAGAATGTAGCAATAGAAAAATATATTGAAATTAAATTAACTAAATTACTAAATTAAATACATAAATAGCAATACTATGTTGAGTGAGAGTGGGTCAAAATTCAACAAATATGTTTTTCATTTTAGAATTATTAAGGGACTCCAAACCAGTAATGAAGCACTGGCCATCTATCCCATTTTGTGAATTTTCAGGTTTGGTTGTTTTATATCTGATAGCTTTTGTGTACAACAAAAAAAAAGAAAAGAAAAGCAGGCTACTATGGCTTAATTAAGAACCATCCTTCAGAGGTTTTGTACATGCTTTGAAAACGTATGATTGAAAAATATTTTAACATCTCATAACCCTGACTATTGTGAAGATATGTACTTAAGTGTGAGATACCTAACAATTATATAGTGAATGCAATTGTGAAATATATAGGTATGAAATGGGGTTAGGAATGAGGCAAATTCATCAAGAGAATGACTGGATGTGGAGGTTGGATGCAAATGCAACAATGTAAACTTGTTTTGCAAAACAGGTTTCTTAGTGTGGGCAGAGCCATGAGGCTTTTCTTTAACTCCCACACACTGTCTTGCTCTCATCCCATTAACTCTTCATGGTATGTCTCTGCATGTATGACAGGTTTAGTGTGTTTGTCTTAACAGTTGCATTCTTCTTCTTTTAAGTCTGATTACCTTTCTAAACTTTTCTCAACCTTCTTCTTGTTTTCCTTTACGCATATTGTTTAATTTTTGCATAATTTGAAATTTCTCTGTAAAACATGGAGCCTTTCAGACAGCAGCTTTACCCAGAATACACAACATAGATGCAGCATGTGGAAAGCAATGCTAAGCACACACCCGTGCTTAGCTACTGCTTCTATTTTGGCAGCCATTGTTGGTTACTGAAGCCTGACGGACTCCACCTCCAAGTATTTATTTACTAACTGTAAAAGTGGCTCAGGTGCGCTCAATTGTAATTTCCTTCCTTCTCTTGTCCATTTTGTTGCACCTGTTTGGGTGTGCCAGCTTCAGTCTGTTTAACTCTTTGGCCTCAGTGAGTTATGAGAATTCTCAGCAACTCTTTAGCTGTGAAACAACAGCGAACTTAAGTGATAAAGCCCTGCCAGACTAATATCTCATACTTTATTGGCCCGAGAAGATAGGTGCTGCATGCATGTAGAATACAAAAACATACTCGAAAGCCGCTTTACTGCTGTTTGTGCTCACTTAAATTTCTAAGCGGGGAACCCCCCCCCCCCCCCCCCCCCCCCCCAAAAAACAGACTTATTAATATAAACAGGTTTATTATCAAAGCAGATTTCGTGTCAGAATAGAAACCAAAATGTAACCTCAACTGGAAGATACAGGTGGGACATGTTAACTAGGTTTGATAAGAACTTTGTTTAAAGATAGATTTTCCCAGAATTAGATGCTAGAAATTATTAATTTTTATTTGGTTTCAATCCAAAGTTCTCCCAAGTTGCATCTTTCACATTTAGCATTGAAACAAAATACGATCTTTGTTTTTCCAAATCTGAGCCAACATTTCTCTAGCTTGCTACTCCCCGGTCTCTAGGCTTTTGTGCTGCATTTGCAGCACCATGGAAGCAATAAGGGAAGCATTGAGTGGAGGCCGATACACCGCTGGCTCTAAGAAGAAAGAGATGGAGAAACAAGGAAAACAATCATGCAAACATACATTTTTGAGCTCATTTCTATTTACTAAGTGATATATATTTATAATTCGATTGATTGATTGTTTGTTTATTGAGACATGCCCAATGTGAACAAATGAACAACTTTAACTTCAAGTGTTGCAGATGCTGATGAACTGTCAGCTCTATCCGAATAAGAATAGCTCTTAAAAAAAGACAAAATCATCTAAAAGTTTAAAATAGTTGGAAAGGGATTTTATTGATGTGGAGAAAAAATAAACTTTACTAAAATCCCAATATGCTTAACAAAATAAATATTACAAATGATTAAAGGCTAATAAACAGTAACAATTAAAAAGGAAGAAAACTTCTCAAATCAGTGTGAACGATTAATCCCTGTTAATTAAGCGCTTCTTGGGGCAATATGTTTATTTTGGTTTGATAAGCTAAGGGCTCGAGTTGCAGTTTGTGGCTTTAATACTTTTCAATAACTCAGGACCCTGACCTTTGACCCTAAATGTTCCTGACATTTAAAGGTGGGATTCTAAAATAGATTTTATTTCTGTAAGAATGTTAAATCACCATCTGTCCTGTAAAAAGAAGGGACTATACTTACAGATTCTGGCTCCAAATCAACTAAAATATTAATTGTAGCAAATATAAAATGAAGCATTGATGATAAAACAGCCCTACATTTTTTCTTAAACATTGTTTCCTCCCACAAACATTAGCATGTTTCTATGCCTCCTTATACGCTTATATCTTCCTCATGTTACTTAACAAGTTTACAGCCACAGCTTTGAAAACTACAGTGTGGGTGTTTTATCAATGATTGACATCTCAGAGCCCAGAGTTTCAACTGGTTTCTCCAACATGCTGTGTCATTGCAGCAGGCTTGTTGCCCAGAGAGAGGTAGGTCCACTTTGGTTTTGTGTTGATTTGCCCAAGGTGTGCATCAACCACACACTCTATATTTCACAATCGCATAAAGCGGCAGCTAAAGAATGGTGGATGTCTGAATGGAGGCGAGGGATAACTAATGATTTCCACCTTTATTGAAACGTCTCGTCTTTGTCACGCCATAGCATTAGATTTCACCTCATGATTAGATTTGGGGAAGAATAAAAGCTTATTTTAAACTGAAAAAAAAACCCTCAATGCATCATGTGACATGAATTGATTGAAAATATCTATATTTGATTTGAATACATAAAAATAATTTCACCTCCCATCCAAACAACAAAAGTAGAAAACGAGACAATTCATTGTTTTATTATTACGGTAGTATTTTTGGTAGTAGTATTATAGTATTAAATGTCTGTGTTTTTGAAACATAAATAGCATGTCATCCTAACAAACCCACCATGATACTGAATTTAGATTTTTGTATATTATTAAATACAAGAGCTCTCATGTTGTTAATGAAAATCCGTCTGGCCTCCTTTTCTTCAGTTTGCATAGTTTTAAATGTCGGCTGTAATGTCCTTTACAGCAGTAGAAGGAAAAATGAGGGGGAAAGAGATTAGATAAGTTTAGGTATTTCAGTGAGCTGTGTAAATGTAATTAGGAATGCATTATCAAGGTGCAGAAGTTGTTGGAATGCATTACAAGACACACCTCATAAATGCTCAACAGGACCATATATCATGTAATATCTTCTGATTTATCCTTTCTCTGATATCGACAAGGAGACTTAATCATTGAAGGATTTAACTCACATCACTGCTAAGTCCTGTCTGGGTGCAGCCAATTTAGTTAGAAATATTATTTCTTATTTTATAAAATTTTCTTTTTCTTCCTGTTTACTTGAAGTTGTTTTACTTTGTGAACTGTTGTGTTACAACAGCACACATCAAACCATTAATGCAAACCTGAGTATTAATACGTTCAAGTTTCTGTGCAATTTGAATTTAGGCTTAATATAGGTTTAGCTGTAATCAAATAAAAAGGGAAGTTAAAGTAAAGTTTATGGATTTTCTTATTGCTTAAATCCAACAAATACAATTCCTGCAGAGTTGTTTTTTTTATGTAGCCTTTATAAATGCAAAGTTTAAATGACGCGGATGTAATGTACCTCAATGGGTTAATAAAGGATCTATTTCTCTATTTATTAGCAATTCTATTAATTCTAATCAGATTTAATTTTAATGCATTTTTAATGTGTGTATTTTTGGTGACAAATAAATGATAATTTTTGGTTAAGCTTTGGGTGAAGCTTTTAAATCAAGTCAAAATATTTATAAGCAAAAAAAGGCTTTTTTTTTTTTTTTTTTAACTCTGAGTCATTAGAATTTGGGTTTAAGCCTGAAAGCCCTAATGCTGACAGAACATGACAGACAGTAATGCAGTAGCTCAAGATGTCGAGTGCTCCTTTCTAGCCAATCTATCATTCCAGCGCCGCATTGCTCTTCACTTTTTTGCTTCTCAACTCAATGTACTGCAATGTAGTTTCTTTAGAACTCATTTCCCTCTATCTTTATTCCCCTTTTTAAATGGTCTACACTATGTATTGCATAATTGGTGTGTAGTTGGTCTAAAATACATTTCTATCTCGTTTTACCAGCTATTCGTTTTGGCCGAATGCCCCAAGCAGAGAAGGAGAAACTGCTGGCTGAGTTCTCGTCTGACATAGAACACATGCACCCAGAAGCTGCAGATCTAAGGGCTCTGGCCCGGCATCTGTACGAGGCCTATCTGAAGTATTTTCCCCTTACCAAGGCCAAGGCCAGGGCAATCCTCTCTGGAAAGACTGGAGAGAAAGTGGTAAGAATTGCTGGAAGATTTCCTCCCTACTTTTTCTCTCAGTAAAATCAGTGACTTTTTGATGGAACTGCCAGTTAGTCAGCTTTATAGGACATGTAAGACAGAGAAAATGGTGAAAAAAGAATAGTTGACCTGCAAGTGAACTATATGTTCTCCTAACTTTTAAGTTTTTGACTTTCTTTGATTTATTCTAAAATAACCACATTCCTGTTCGGTGCTAATGTGAACTGTTGGGCCAGTCCTCTGTCAAGATTACGCTCTCATCTGGGAAATGCGAGCCACAGTGGAAATAAAAAATAAAGAGCATTTTAAAACTTTAAGTAAAAAGGATTTTGAACTTTACAAGTGGACTAGTTAATATATTTACTAGAGCTGTTGTCATGCCACAGCTCTTAGTTTAGTTAAATTCAAACTTCTGAGATTTAAACGCTGCTTGAGCTGAAAAAAAGTTGATAAACTGGTTTCTATTTGCTCTGGCTGTTCAAAAATCTCTCAGATTACACTGGAAAGGTGGGGAAACAAGGAGGCTGTTTTACAGTCTGCAGAATGGTGCTGACTGTAATGCTAAACGACCAGAGTTATTACGACATCTAAAAAATTGCACTTGAAACATTGAAGATATTTAATGGCAATAAAAAAAAAATCACAATCTAGTTTGTTTTTTTTTATTGTTTTCATTAAAGGCTTTTAAATCTAACAGTGAACAGACTCCTCCACAGCTTAGCTTGAGAATTATATGTTGTATTGTCTTCTTATGTGTTTTTACAGAAATTTCAGACAGACAGTTAAAAGCTGCTAGTTCAAACAGATCACCATTTAAGCTGAGAAAGATTATTATACAGTAAACATATCTAATCTTTTAAATTTCCAATGAAACCCTTAAATTCCCTGTGGATTGCACAACATCTGTTTATATTTGAACCTTTATTTTTTCTATATCTTCAAAACCAGGCTGTTTAACTCTTAGGTCATTCAACCATGAATCTTTGAAGTTTTTGATTAGTATTTAAAGATCTGTTGGCTGGTGGGTTTAGTTACCATGTGCAACTAAAAGTACAAAGTGATGTTTATTTGCCATTTCATATATATACTACCTTATAACATTTTTACTCAACATATAAACTAAAATGATTTTTAGAGCTTTTAGTTTAGATGTCCAGTGGATTTTAAAGCAGATGTTACCACGTTATGAATAAACCAAAGCAAATCTGAATCTGTTTTTTATATATATATAGAAAAATAGAGCAGTTTAAAACCATATAATTAAGACTGAAGCAATTCTTTATGCTTGTTTTTGCCATTTGTAGCTTCTGCAGTTTATTTTTCTATTGATAAAGTTTGATAACCTCAAGGTTGCTTTGTATTTCTTTGTTCGGCTTGTTATGACTGTTCGCCACAACAATAGCCACCATATGACACTGAATCAGCATTTTGTTTATGGCACTCCTTGCTCATTTACGAAATGATTACGTACCTCCTAGAATAAAGGAGGATTTTTTTCCTTTAGTGGAATATTAACATTTTCTAATCTCCAAGGCCAAGATATGGGTTTTATTGCAGTTACGAAGCTAATAGGTTTTATTATTTTTATAGAAACCCTTAAAAGTAGATAGTAGAGTGGCTGGCGGAACATTTTTCTGATAATATTATGATGGTGGCTAAGGATGGCTTATGTCCTATAACCAGATGATTGCACATTTAGTTAAATCCCTTCCACCAAAACAAATATTATATTTATCTAAATAACAAAAACTATTACGGTTAACTACTAACGCAGAAATATAGTTGTTCTATTAAGTCTATTAAGAATATAGTTAAAAGTCGTAAGACAAGAAAAAAAAATCTAATTTTCTTATGTGAACATGTTTTAAAATAAAACTAAAATTAGCTGAGAATTCAGTGAAAAGTCAAGGAGTGTCTGAAAAACACTCAACTTTGGCGTCAGTGTAAAATGCAATGTCCACACAAGACAAACATTTTGAAGGAAAGTATCCAGTTTGAATGACAGTTTGTTGAATGAGGAGGAGGAGTTCTTGAGATGCGATGTGTGTCAGTATTTTGGAGACTTAAATCTTTCATTCAGAAACAGCTCTGACATAATTCATGGAAATCAATAGTGAATTAGAAAATTTTAAAATTTTTTACTTAACCAGTCCTTTTCTTTCCTATAAATGAAGTTGCACTATGCTGCGGTTGAAAATTTGTCAGAATCAGACATAAGAAACACCTCGATTTTTCCAGGAATTATTGAACACTGCTTCATATCAGTTGCATCTTTCCTTCGGTCGCACTAATTCAACAGCTGGGGCATCTGTCTCATTGAAATTGAAAAGACCAAAGTTTTTAGCCAAATTCAAGAGGTGCATTCAGAATGAACACATTTCTGGCTAAGACAGATCAGATAATTGCTCCATGTTAACTTTTAAGGCCAGCTTCCAGTTGTTTCGTAACCCTGATGGAAATGTTGTTCCCAGCAGACCCTTTTCAGTGGTTGAGAAATTGACCCTTTTTCTGGAACATTTTTAATAAATCTCTTCCCATTTTTCTGCATAGCTGGATGTTTTGGGGAAAGTCAGAGTGGTCAGTCAGTCCTTTTTCTGCATTCCCAAGGCAGCTACATTATGCTTTCTTTTACAACCATTTGTCTGTCAGTCTGCGCTCTCCCGATCTCCCCATCAAAGAAAAAAAGAGTCATTAAAGTCGTTTAAAGCTGTTGGGATTGATTGTTTAATTTTTTTGACAGTTTTACATTTTCCGGCTTTCTGTCCCCATTGTCAGAATGGGACACTATCCTGAGCCAGAAACATTCAAGTGTCTGGATTATACTGTTTATCTTCCTGTCACTGCATGTCTTTGGTAAAATGTTTTGTTTAAGTCCACATCAGGTGGGAGAAAAGATGTTTCCTTGCTGTAATTTTTTTAACAAATATTTAGTAATAGGGATTAAGCAAAGATTTACCATTTCTGCATCATATTAGAGCTTTTCATTAAAGCCTGAGGAATGAACTATAACCAAAGTAACCTATTAGAATTGATTCAGTTTTATCAGCAGAAAGTCATTGAGAATTTTTTTTAATCTGTTTTTCCATTTGTTTTGGCTTTATAATTTCCTGCCAACACTTTCCTAATTGCAAAAATCTTTTCCTTCTACAGCCTTTTATTATTCATGATATGAAGTCTTTAATAGAAGGGGAGCAATTTATCAACTGTAAGCAAATACCAGTGTTGGAGCACCAGAAGCAGATGTCAGCCGTTGCAGTTGGACACGGAGGTTAGTAGAGCCAAGAAATTATGAAAAAAAAAGAAGGATTAATTGAAGGCCCTATGGGTTAAAATGCTGTTTGAATGAAACACAACAAAGCCTAATTTCTTAACCACATGCGCTTTCTGCATGCAACAAGTCACATATTAGTTTAATTATTTTGATTTAATTTTAACAAGCTTGTTCATATTTATATTTAACTACTCAAGGCACAAATAATTACTTCTCTGATTCACAGCTATGAATAGGAGTAGAAACCTAGAGCATATTTTTTTTTACATTGATGAGAAGCTAGGCCAGAGAACCAGAGGAAGACTTATCTTTATAAACTTAAAAAGAAATTTTAAATGATGTATATTTGCCTATATTTGTTTCTAATGCATAGAAAAGGATTTCAGCCATAAAACTGCAGTTAACTGTAATTGTTTATATCCCTGGAGAATATACATTTAAATATATTGTTATTTTCATCCCCAAAGTTTGTTTCTGAAAAGCAATAAGAAAAGCTATCACTTTATTCTCCACAGATCAGGTTTAAGTAATGCTGCACAGCAAAAACAATCTAGAAATAAGTAAAACATTCTTAAATTAACTGTATTTACCCTAAATTAGCAGGTAAATAAGACAATTTGCTAATGGAATAAGTACCTTTGCTCTTAAGATAATTAGATAATATGAACTAGAAATAAGACGATGCATTTTTTTTATCATTATTTTAAATGTAAATTGTCTTGGTCCATTGGGAAAGTGTCGAATTTACATCCACAGTTCAAGAAAAAAAACAACACCTAATTTAAGAAAAAATGACTTATTTAGATTTCAATATTTTGCAGTGTGCCCTTTTGGCTGTTCCTATATTTAGGAGTCGCCACAGCGAGTCATTCAGACTTGCTCAAAGACTTGTCAGATTTTTACACCAGATACCCTTCCTGATGCAACCAAGATAAAAACCTCGGCTCCGGGAATTACAGTCCAAGACTTAACGTGTTTAGCCCAAAATACACAACTGAAATTAAGGTTTTCACCTCATTTAAGGAAAATCTGGTCAATTTAATTGACCAGATGCTGATGTCCATTGTAGGACTATTCCTGCATATGACAGAGCCTTTGGTCATAACATTTTAACCATGAATCATTGTTTCTTGAGCATTTTTCTTAATGTACAGAGGTTTAAAAAGTGACCACCAATTTTATAACCTCTGTTAGGCACAGAAATTGTGAGGATAGATGAGCAAGAACATATCTGTGTCCTGGAGCATTTTTCAGAAAGCGTCTGCCATGGTTGATAGACCTTTAAATTATATTTCATAAAAAAAAAAGTATTTATGAAAACCAAAAGCAACATTAAAGTTTTCTCCGTTAAAGGAACTAGAAAATAAGTTCATTAACCTAGTTTTATAGAAGGTGAAAAAGTGGATGTTGCCCTTAAAAGTTTAAACCACTTTACTATGGGGACAGACCAAATATGGCCTGTAAAAATAATATAATTTTTCTGTCAAAAGAATCAGATTTTTTCAGATTGAAATGTTATTAACCATTAGGATAGCAGGAGCAGTGGTGGTAGAGTGATTATTCACGGGGCAAGAATACGTCAGGATACGGCGGCCTCAGTGCTCATTGCAGCAGTCTCGAGTTTGATTCCTGGCCCGCCAACCTTTGACCATCTTTCCCCTCTCCCCCAACCTAATTTCCTGCCAGCTCACTTTCAAATAAATACCATCAATGCAAAAAGGATAAACTAGCCTGAGCAGTTTTCAGTGAACTGCCTACCATTTTATATGTGAGACGAAGCCTGCTATTTTATAAACTTCACTCTTCAGTTATAGAGGTGTTATATGCAGCTCTTTTCTGATTTCTAAAAGTTTCAGGAATCCCAGCAGCCCACTCAGGGTCAGACTTTGGATCTTTGGGGAGCGGGATCGGTGGGATGACACCCGACGGCGTGGAGCTACGTTTGTTCAAGAGCTATCAGTCACGTTCAGCAGAAGCTGTGAGAGAAGTCACAGAGTTTGCCAAGAGCATCCCAGGATTCATCGACCTGGATCTCAATGATCAAGTGAGAAAAATCCTTTGCAGCCACGCATCAGTCAAAAAAAAAAAAACAAATCCTCACAGATTAGGGTAGCATAGGGCACTTAGGAAATGCATTATTAAGATTTTCTCACTCTCCTTTCAGCAAAATGCAGATTAAGATAATGAGATTTGTCCATATAATAGCTTTGGTCTTATGTCATATTATTAAAATCTCCTATAGCTAAAGTTTAGTCTAACCTTAAAAACACCATTTTCCAATGCGAGGATGAATTGAACAGCAGTTACCACTGTAGGATAATTTGTAACATGACTTAGCAAACAGATATACTGTAAAATAAATGTTTTGTTCAATTAATTTATTAAAACAAAGGAAGTAAATGAAGGAGTCATTTTCTTTATTAAATGTAAGCAATTTAATGATTAATATTAATAAAAAAATTGGAATTGTATCAATATAAATATAATGAGTCTCAAAATGGATCTGTCTGTAGTCAATAAGTGCATTTATATTACATGAGACAGATTTACTATTGAACAAGATTTCTAAACTACGCCTCATTCTGCTTAATCAGAGGTTGGCTGAAACATATGTTGGATATGCATTTCTGGCAAATATGCTGAAGATCTCAAAAAAAAAAAAAAAAGTATATATTTATATTTGAAATTTAACAAGCAGTTAATAAGTTCTGCGGCTTAGCAATGTGTTGGATAAGTCACATTATTATGGACCCATGCTTAAATCTTTCCTTTCTAACCAGTGGATATTTTGTTCAGGTAACGTTGCTGAAGTATGGAGTGATTGAAGTATTGATCATCATGATGTCGCCTCTGATGAACAAGGACGGCACCCTGATCTCCTACGGACAAATTTTTATGACACGGGAGTTCTTCAAGAGCCTCAGGAAACCTTTCTGTCAAATGATGGAGCCAAAGTTTGAGTTTGGAGTCAAGTTCAACACGCTGGAGCTTGACGACAGTGACATGGCACTGTTTCTAGCTGTTATCATTCTCAGTGGGGGTGAGTGTTCACGTTTTATCAAGGTGTTTCATTGATTTCATTGGCGGATTTTTTTTTATGAAAAGACGATCTGACTTTATAACATTATGTTTCTCTTTTACGTTTTCAATTTTGTTGACTTTTTCGTGGGTTGGATTATTCTTATGTGAAGCCCAGAAATAGTAGGACACTTTTAGACTTGCTGATCCCAGAACAAAGCAATAAGTCACACTACAGCCTTTTAAACGACTAAAGCCTTCACTTTTACACCCCCGTCCAGAGTAAAACACACCACTTCCTGTGCGTACAATACGTTTTAAAAACATTACAATATATCTGTTATCTCTTTTCAATTTTTCTTTTTAATGTTAAAGAGTTATCCAGTGTGTGACTAAGGTGTCTCCTGTCCACAACTTATCAGCCCTCTGTGATATACACGCTATCACCAGGCAGCCTTAACTGATTTATTAAGGTACTAACTGGTTGAAGATAAAGGGATCTTTTTCAATGAGAACAAAAAAAAAGTGCATCAAAAGATACCAGAATCAATAACTGCAAAGGTTGCATTTGTGATGGGTGAGAAAAGACATGAGAGGTGAGGTTTCACAGACGACCACATAAGCCCCGCTTGTGCACGTTTCTACACCAACTGGGAACATTTATAGTAAAAGGAAAAGTACAGGTGGGAAGAGGCGTCAAACGTTTGGTCTTCTATCCTCACACTCATAAGTTCAGTTTCTTAGAAGTAAACATCATGAATTCAAAGCATGACTTTGGAGTAACGAGTCAGCCCCTTACTATGGAACAGAGCCCTATGCCCAGTTCTACTGGTTATTAGCGTAGATCTGCAGGATAAAAATCTGACTTTTGGACATTATTAAGATTAGAATTCAGCAAGGAGCTAAATTATTAACTCAAATGACTGATTATAGTTTGATAACCTTTTTGAAATACGATAATTAGGTCTAGGTAATAAGCCAAAGTTGATTTCAGCTACACTAGTATTTTTATTAGGTTTAAAATACTTGACTAACATATTCATACCACTTGAAACTTTTAACTATTTATCAGTTTTTAATACAGCCTATTTGGATTTTACATTGGATTTTATTACAGGGAATAAGAGTCTTGGTTTTCCAAAGAAGCTTCCACTGCACCTACATTGGTTTTCGGTTGTTGTTTACCTCCTTTCAAGTTTCAGTTTTCTCAGACTTTTTAAAACCAGTCTCAGGTATTCTGCAACCTCTTCAAGGCAGCTGTTGATTTAGCTTGATTCCTCTTTCTTTCTACTCTGACCTACTTTCCTACCCGTGATGAATAAAAACATCCCCACAGCATAATGTTGCCACCACTTTGTCTCACCAAGAAGATGTTTTTTTTTTTTTTTTGCATTGTTTTGCAGATAGGACTAAAAGTCCAGTTTGAGTCCTTTCTGCTTCTTTGTGTTTGTTGTTTATCCTACATGGTTGTGGGAAACTGCAAACATGAATTTCTATGGCCTTGTTGGCTTTCTTCTTGAAACCCATCCCTTAAGAATGTATTCTGCAGCACAAAACTCGTGGTTACCCTTTAAAGTGATTCCCCCTCAAAAGCGATGGGTTAGATCCTCCAAAATTTCTCGACTTCTTCTTTAAATAATGCTTTCCTTTCCTGCCTTCCTATGGATGGTCATTCTGCATGCTCATTACCTTAGCAGAGTTCTGCGCCATGGGACATCTTGGGGTATTAGTTTATTATTTGCTTTAAACTTCTCCATATTATTGCGGGCCGTGTTTTTTTTTTTTTTCCTTATTTACTAATTTGGTCTAACGAACCTTGGCCTACATAGAATAACTGTATTTATATTGAATGCCTTACAAGGAGACTATTAATTTGATTAATGGAAGTTTTATGGTCCTTGGAGAAGATATAATAGAGAAGCAAGCCTACATTTTTTATTTTTTACTATGGAGCATTTATTGTACTTGATGTCTTATTTTGTAACTTGACATAATAGGGTTGAAGGTGTACAAATACTTTGCAGAAAGAGTTTTAATAGGGTCAGAAATATCATGGTCACTAATTTATGCCTTCTCTCTCTTCTCTCTCTGCAAACCATTCAGATCGGCCTGGCCTGCTGAACGTGAAACCCATCGAGCAGCTTCAGGAGACAGTGCTTCATTCGTTAGAGCTCCAACTGAAGCTCAACCATCCAGACTCCCTGCAGCTGTTCGCCAAGCTGCTCCAGAAGATGACGGACCTCCGCCAGATTGTCACCGACCATGTGCACCTCATCGAGCTGCTAAAGAAGACAGAGGTGGACATGCTCCTGCACCCTCTGCTACAGGAGATAATCAAGGACTTGTATTAGGGTTCAAAAGGAAAAGAGGGCAAACATGGAATTGTGAAGAAAAACAGAAGGATCAAAGATGGCTGAATAATGAATTGAAATGAGTCAATTAACCAGAAGATGGAGAGGAACAGGAAAATCAAGAGAAGACAAAAAGTTTTAGATCTGTTTCTGGACAGTCAATGTGTGATTAATTTGTGATGCAGTCATTTAGCTACCACAGAGCCTGAACAGTTTATCATGAGCTGTCTGCCAACTTCAGGACGAAACTACCACCTATTGCAGAAGAGTGTTGATGACTAACAGAAAGAGATGGGAAACTGACGGTTGATGAGGTTAATGCAAAAATTCTGAATGCTTCATCACACCTAAAGATTCACGTGCCTTAAAGGGAAAGGTTTTTCCGAGCCTCTTCTAAAGCAGCGTTCTTGTGCAACTTATTTTTTCACAACCATCCGCCGGCACTAGCAGTAGTGCGCAAACGCATCAATACCTCTGTGAACACGCACAAATGCATGAATGCTCATGCGCGCAAAAACTATGCAGTCGTTTTCTGTTTTGGCATCAGGGGGAAGGTGCTATCTCGTTTTAATCAGCTGTATCCAAAAACAGAAATCAGATTAGTGTCTGTAACTTATTCTGGTCCTGCTCACTGCTTAGAAACTGTGAGAAAGTAAGTGTGAGCTAACAGAGGGCACAGAGCAGTGGTGATGTTAGCTCTAGAATAGGCCTTAATGAGCTAATGTCAAGCTTTTCTTTTTTAAAGATTCAATGTTTTTAAACATATTGTACATACTTAATGTATGATATATATAATCCCTCATGCCGTTTCCATTTGTATTAAATTGTTGAACCAAACTTGCTTTTGAGCCTTTAGATTCAGCAGATTGGTTGAGCTCTAATTTTTCAATGTGAAATTATTTTCTATCAGTAAATCCATTCCTTTTTGCAGACAAAGCGACTGGATGCATATGTACTGAGGAGATAATGAATGAAAAATGACCTGTAAATAAAATATTTTCTAACGTTTTTTATTTGGGGTCTGTTTCTTACTTAAAGGTTTCAAGTGTGCATCAAAAATGTACATCCGAGTACCTGGCTGCAGTTTTAAGTTGAGTGTAATTGAAAATAAAATAAAAAAAACTAGATCACATCAATAATGTATTTTCCTTTTAATTTAGTTGGTTTGATGCTTGAAGGCATCTAAGTGTGCTTCAGAATAGCTTGCTTCCTGTTTTGGGTCGGTTTTGTAATCAGAGATGAACTTCCACCCCCAGCTCACCTCAGCCTCTGGCTTGCTGAGCTTTCCTGCTAGAGAAAAACTTCTCCCACAGCATGATGCTGCCACCACTATGTATGATCACAGGCGTTGTGTTGTTTTCATGCAGTCCAAAATACTCATTTCTAGTCTCATAATAAGGGACTTTCATATTGAAATATTTACTTTTGAATAAAAGACTTTCTATCTTCTTTCTCTTAAACTCGTTTTTTTTTTTACTAAAGGCCTTGTAAGAACTATTTCCAAATATCCTCCCTGCAGTCATCCAAGACAATCAGATGCTTTTACAGTCATGACATCAGTTGTTCTATGTGCTTGTTACTAAATACTCACACACCCCCACTGTTGCAATTGCAACACATGAACTCTGATGAACTATGCCAGAATACCAGAGTCTGTGGATTCGAATTTCATCAGCAGGAAGGGAAGTTGGTTTTCTTTATGGAGGTTGTGTTTTTTGGACGGGTCGCTTCTTCTGGTTAGGGTATATAACCTTTTCATGACATTTTTATAGTTTTTGCAGTTTAAAAAGCTTAGGTATTAGAAGAGGTTAGCAGAGGGATTGCGTGCAAAACAGAGGTTAGGGTAACATTCAAACTCAGGACATTAAACTTTAACCCAGCTAGACACGGGGTCACTTCCATAGATGGCACCGGTTCATTTACACAGAGCTTCCCCGCTGTCTGGTCATGTTGTCATTGCATGATGTTTTTCAAACTCATGCCAGGTGCCTTATGTCAGAGAAGTCAGCCAGGAGGTTCAAATTCAACTAAAAATCCTTCAGTATAGAAAAAACAATCTGATTCTTACCTTTTGTATCATCATGAAAGAACTCTCCACTACAACCCTAAGCTAATGCTGCTTTTTAATGTGTCATGGGCAGTATTAAGTTTTTTTCTTTCTTCCCACAATGAAACTAAATATTTTTAGAAAAGAGAAAAAAAAAATCTATCCATTTGGCAAGTTGACCAGGACAACACTCCATAAATATGTTTATGCTCTATTGGTATGATATTTATTAATTTGATGTAATGTTTTTATGACTTGGTCTCTTACTGCTAAGGATAGAGGTTTTAAGATATATCATCTGAAAACGGACTAAGATACCCTCACCAACCATTTTATTAGGTACACCTGTCCAACAGCTCCTAAATATAAATTCCTAATCAGCCAATTTCATGGTGGCAACATGTATACATGATCAATCTGATCTGTATAGCATCAGGGTGGGGAGAAAGTGGATTTCCGTGACTTTGAGTGGCATGGTTGATGGTGTTAGAAGTGCTGGTCGGAGTTTTTTCAGAAAATGCTGATCTACTTGGATTTTCAACCTTATTAAGAGTTTACAGAGAATAACCAGAAAAAGAGAAAACATCCAATTAACAGCAGGTATGTGGGCGTAGATGCCTTATTGATGCCAGAGGAGAGTGGCCAGACTTGTTTGAGCTGATAGAAAGGCAACGGTAACTCAGATAACCTCTCGATACAACCGAGGTATGCAGAAAAGCCTATCTGAATGCACAACACAACAAACCTTTGGTCGGATGGGCTAAAGCAGCAGCACACTGGGTGCCACTCCTGTCAGCTAAGAACTGGAAACTGAGGCTGCAATTCTCACAGGTTCACCAAAATGGGACAATAGAAGATTAGAAAAATGTTGCCTGGTCTGATGAATCGTGATTTATGGATGCTGGGGTCAGAATTTGGCATCAACAACATAGCATGGATCCATCCTGCATTGTATCAACAGTTCAGGCTGGTGGTGGTGGTGTACTGATGTGGGGGATTTCTTTCTCGCCGCACTTTTGGGCTCTTACTACCAACTGAGCATTGTGCTAACGCCACAGCCAACCTGAGTATTGTTGCTGACTATGTTCATCCCTTTATGACCACAGTGTACTTATCTTCTGATGGCTACTTCCAGCAGGATAACGTGCTATGTGATAAAGCATGAATCATCTCAGACTACTTTCTTGAACATGACAAGGAGTTCACTGTACTCATATGGCCTCCACTGTCACAGATCTCATCCAGTAAAATGCGTTTATGATGTGGGGATATTCACATCACGAACGTGCATGCCAATATGGACCAATCCCTCCAAGGTTTCCGGTGCCTCTTAGAATCTATTACACAAAGGATTAAGGCAAAAGAGGGTCCAACCTGGTACTAGCATAGTGTATGAAATAAAGTGACCTGCGTGTGTACATCCTAACAAGAAAACTGAGAGAGAAAACCAAAAATATACACGTGTTGCCATAACCTTTTTCAAATATCAAATAAAAGTAAATGTAAAGTAACACAAAGACAATTGTAATTCCATCTACAGATGAAAAGAATTCATAGGAATCCTTAAAAAGATTTTTAATGCAGTAAAACAAACAACAGCAAAATGCCATACAAAGATCACTATTTTCCCATTAGCTTACAAACTGTGTTTGTTTTACATAATTTTCCAAAGATACCGTAAAATCCATGATTGTCTCTTTCTGCAAAAGATTTAAAACCTAAAAATGCAAACATGTTGGTTCTTTTAAATGGCAAGTTTTATTTTATGAAGAAGTCATGTAATATTTGACTCTCTAATTCACTCTTATTGATGAGGACAAAATGGCTCTTTGGGTTTTAAAGGTTAAAGGTATAGCTCAAGTTAAGCCCTGCTGACCCTATCTAGTCGAAATCTGTTCTTACATTTAAAAAATAAACAATCATAAGTTGTATGAGGGTTTAGTTAAAGTTCTTACATAGGCCCCAAGTTCATGCCTTCACAGATTGCTATTTATTTCCATAATGCACTTTAGAACGTCCTGCCCTATGTTCTCAGAGAAATTATAGATACACTCACCATGTGATTGAAATAGACTGTTCATGTTGTGACACGAAAATATATAGCAGTGTGCCATTATGATAAGAAACATTATAATCTAAACTATAAGGGGCAAATGTGTCAAATTAAAGTAGCCTGAGACGTAGCCTTGAGGAACTGCCACGTGTGATTTATGATTATGAAAAGAAACAAGGTAGTCCCACAATGCCATTTAAACCACTGTGGCAGAGCAGCAGAGAATCTCTACTAATTTCTGTCTATGAATCAGAAATGTGTATCATCCAGTTACTGTATTAAAGTGCATTTCTTGTCTAAAAGGATACATCTGTTTTGATTCAGATAAAAAGATGCTGATGTAGGGAAGTCAATTTTTCACAAAATATAGATTGTTTTCTTTTTATTAGGGAAGGAACAAGTTAAGTTATAGTATGTTTCTTGGACCTTTCCCTCAGAGAAGAAATAAAAACACTTTGTGTAAAAATGTAATCCAGTATTTTCTTTATTTGAAAAAAAAAAAGATAAAAGAGTAGTACTTTTTTAACCATTCAGGAATACAAATCATTTGATGGCTTTTAATGATAAGAACAAGTTTATCTGTTCAGGATGAGTAATTGAGCTTTCAACAGGGGAAACCCAGTTCATGCGTTGGGAGAAGATCCTGTAGGACGTGAGAAACAGAAGGAAGGAGAAGTTTGGCTCTAAAAATAAGACTTTGTATTGGCACAGGACGGTGGGGGGTTTCTGGCTTGGAGCTGAAGGACCGTCGTGGACGGCTGACGGTGAGGGAAATTAACTGCGTTATTTATTTAATGTCAAGTCAGCATATCCTCACTTTGTTGGACCTGATCTCCGCGTACTGCATGCTGCCAAAATTCCTGCACAGATTCGCCAGTGATATTCAGAAAGCACATTTCTGTTGTTGCCTGACCACACAAAGCCAGGTCCAAAGAAAGCTTTTTTTAAGGAAACTGTTTTAGGCCCCGTCCACACGAAGTCAAAACGAACACGAAACGCTGATATTTTCCAAAACGTTTGCCGTAAAGACGGAGACGTAAAATAAATGTGAGCGTCCACACGAATGCATGAAAACGCTGCAAAATGTATGCCAGGCCTGTAAGTGGCGCTGTGGTGCCAAAGCAAAAATAAGCGAAATGTTGGGCATGCGCACTAATATTTATACATGGTTGCCCTGCGGGTCTATTTTCGTGGTTAAGTCAAATTCAGGTGCTGAACTATGTGGTCGATATTGCTCTGTTCTTCCTGGAGATATTCCAGAAGAAGATTCTGTTGTAAGCCCGACCAGCCCGACAGCAGGGTGAGTAGCATTAGCAGCAACGGCGCCATTGTTGTTGTGATGTGTCGCGCTTGCGTGTTTAGAGGCGACGCTATGACGCATGCGTGTAAAAAAAAAATGCGGTTAGGGTGTAAAGATGGAAACGCGAATACGGCGTTTCAGAATCTTCCCACTCTGAAGGGTGAATAAAAAAATGATCGTTTACAGACCCCCGAAACGCCGGCTTCGTGTGGATGAGAGGCTGGTTTGGTGAAAAATTTGTGCGTTTAGGCCAGGGTTCGTCTTCGTGTGGACGGGGCGAGTCCTTAAGAAAAGTCAGCATCTTAGAGTAATTTCCTGTTTTTTTTGTGTTAGAGAGGAGTTTAACATTTAATATTAGTGTTTTCTTATTTACAGTGAATTTGTGAAGTGATGCATCTGACCTTGTGCCGATGAAAATATCTTTGAGTTTGTTTCAATAAATCTGATGTTTCTGTGTGTTTCTTTATATTTTAGATTCTTCTTGTATTCTTTTTTATGTGTCAAATATCTCATGTTTCATTCAGAAATGGGAATTTTAAAATGTGACAAGATTTCAATCTTTGATCATTTGGTGTCACAGATTAATCTAAACTCATGCTTGAAGCACAGTCTTCCAGCTTATAATGTTTATTTTAGTTTCTTCTTGAAAATAACCTTTAAAGTCTTGCTTTTATTGTGTTCTCCCATTTTATTGCCACAATTGTACATCCTATCAAAAAGAGAATTTTTAAG